TGGTGGAGGGAATGGAAAATACTGAGCCTGAAACTCTGAAGACAAAGTAGCAGGGGAAATCCTACTCTATTCATCTTTGGCTTCACTGGATGATCTTCACTGACTGGCTTCATCTTGATAAACACTTTTTAAGTGTTGTATCCTTTCTTTTTTTTGTCTCCTTTCCTCCCCTCAATTTCTTTAATGGTTTCCTATTTGTTAAAGCTCATAAAACAAAATAACAAGATGTAAAAATCAGGGAATGGAATGAAATACATGAGAAGAGGGTTATACCTGTAGTCTTGCCCCTCCAGGAGGCTGAGGCAGGAGGATCACACATTGGAGCCCTGCCTGGACAACTTAGTGACTCAGAGATCCTGTCCCAGCAACAGCTGTGGGGTGGGGATGGGGTTGCTGAGGAGGTAGCTCAGTGTGACACCTGGCCCCAAGTCTCCCCTCCAATCACACCTATTCACAAACACACACTCACATACCAAAACGATGCTTAGGTACTTCCCGTTGGCTCCTGATCTCTACTTATGAAATTATGTCTTGTTCATTTCAGTGACTGCAGTACAAATACCTAAGAACAAGACGCTCCTAGGCACAGGGACACGCGGTAAACACTGCTGGCTTCACCAGACACCCCGCATTCCCCGGCATCTGCCCTTACCCAGCGATGTGCACTGGGGTGCACACAGGGCCTGCGAGGTCTAGAGCGCAGGGAAGCTGCACCCCAGACTCTCCAGTTACTCTTTTTGCTTTTGTGGCACCCATCTTCAAGGCTGGAACTACTCACATTTCAGGGCGCTGAAGGCCAGCTCGTAGGCCAAACGCCTCACGGTCTCATCCTCAGACTGCGCCGAGCAGCGCAGGGGTTCACTCCCGTACTTTATTATGACTTTCTCTGGCGACTTTTCCATTCGAATACCCTGAAAAATGTTCGCGGCCATCACGTACACGGGGTCCGGGTAGCCAGTTTTTTCCGGGTCACCGGCTGAACTTTTCTCGCTGGGGGGTGCATCATCCGACAACTGCAGGAGCGCGACCTGGGAGATCTGCTCGTTACTCTGCTCGTTAGAGAACTCCAGCTCCGTGATGGAGTTCACCATGCCGCCCCGCTGCCGGTCCCAACCCAGAAGGCTTCGGTTACAGTTCAGGTGGTGCAGGACATAGTGTTCCTCGTGTCTCGGGCATCTTCTCTGTGAAAAGAAAAAGTGACGTCGCTAAACCGCGGTTTGGGCCGCACCTCCCCTGGTGGCCGTGAGACCTACAGGTGGCATTTCTCGGCCTGCGTCCGCGACCCGCCCAGAGAGCCCCGAGGTGGCGGCCGGCTACACACACACACACACACACACACACACACACACACACTTTGCGGACACCGGTCCCCAGAGACGCCGCTAGCTGGATCCGAATCGCTGTAGTCCCAGCGACCCGGCCCTTACCCCGAGGGCGGATGTGTCCCGGGGTTCTCGGGGAACCGACGCAGGTCACGGGCTCTCAGGAGCCCCGGCTGCGGCGGCTGAGAAGACGGGTCCTCTCAAATGCAGCTTTTCCCAGGGGACACGGTCTCAGGCTCGTTCGTCGGGTTCCGGGACCCGGGCGCTCAGCCGGGCCTCCCCTGCCCGCGCCGCGCCGTAGCCTTCGCGCCTGGACCGCGGCCGCCGCCGTCCCAGCCGTGGGCTGGGCCAACGCCACGTCTCCAGGGCAACCGGACGCCGAGCCGCGGCGCGCCGGAAGCTCCCGCCAGCTCTCGCCCTCGCGCGCGGGGAAAGATCGATCGGCTTCCTTCGCTCTTCGAAGGTGCCGGGAGCCACGCTTCACCGTGTTTGTGAACGACATAGTTATGAAGCAGTAAGGTTCAGTGGTTTCCAACTGTCAGGCCCCCTGAAGAGCTTGTTTAAAAATGTACATCAAAAGCTGCATTTGAACCCATCAGTTTTCAAAGCTTTTACACATGGGAAGGGTCAAGGAAAAGGGAAAAGGTAGGGGATGGAAAAAAAAATGTAACAACAACAACAACAACAAAAAAAGATGTGTGGTATAGGTGTACCAACTTTCCATGATAACTGTAATTAGTATGTACTGCAAAGACGTACCAAAAGAAAGGATAAGTGTGTTTGAAACAAACCGAAGTATTTCGAACAGGATTAAGGCAATGTATCTTTTACTGTAATGCATTTAAAATATTAACTATTGGCTGTATTTTTAATCACAAAAATGACAATTCCTAGAACCCAACCTAACAGATTCTGAGCCTGAGATTCTGGAGTGGGACCAGGAGTTAGCCGTGGTGTGGTCAGACCACAGACCATAGCTGGGTTTTGCTGGTATAGTATCCCACCTCTGTCTTTAACTTTGAGACCTCATCTATCCTCTCTGAATTTCTGTTCCTGCTGTAAATAAGATTGGTTATCCCTGGTTCTTTTGTACATGAGGTGTGATATTGGAGTCTCCCATCCACCTCCAGGTCTGCTGTGCAGTAGCGTCTTGGCCCCAGGGTGAAACCCAAGCCGTTCAGAGGCAGGTCAGGATCTTCCAATATCTGGCCTGGCCTCTCTGTCCTTCTTCATTGTTTGACATCCTTCAGCCAGCCCCACACTTCTGTGTCTCTATCCATGCTGTCCCTCTGTCCTGAAAACCTTTCCCTTTTGGTCTACCTGGAAAACTCCTACTCAGTCTTAAAAACTCAGTGCGAGCATCACTTCTGTTGAAGACTTTCCTGGTACTTGCATCTGTTGGAGTGTAAATTTAGCTGCTGAGCAGAGATTCAAAATAACCACACATGTAAGCTTATTTCTCACATAAAGTTTCATGTAAAGATACTTCAGTATCTGACCATTAGGCCCTAAACACACTTGCCCATGTGTGAGGATTCTTACACATGTAAGGTTCTCCGTGGTCAGACTTTGGACTCCATAGTCACATGAAGATGCTTCTCCACAAATTTGTCAGAGAACTAGACTCGTAATTGGGGCTGCAGCTAGAGGATTTCCCCTTCTGCTTATTCTAAGATGGCTCATCCCCATGTTCATTTCCAGCCAGTAATAAAGAAAATAAAGGGGAAGGAGATGGTGTGCCCATTCCTTTCAAGAACACAACCTGAGTGGTGGACATGTCACTCTTTCCCGAATTCCATTGGCCAGAACTTAATCACATGATGTGTCTAGCAGCAAGCGATAGTGGACAATACGTTGATCTACCATAAATGGAGTGTGTGCTAGCGTTCTGTTGCTATGACAGAATACCAGAGAATAAGAAATGAAAAATATTTTATTTTGGCTAATGGCTTCAGAGGTTTCTGTCCATGGTCAGCCAGGTCCATTGCTGTGAACCTGAGGTGAAGAAGAACATCATGGGGAATGGTAAGGGGGAGCCAAGCTGACTCCCCTGTGGCAGCCTGAATTGTAAGAAAGGGAAAGAGCCAGAGAAGAAGGGATCAGAGACAGTTCCAAAGGCTATGCCCTCATAATCTACTCCTTTCAGTTAGTTGTACCTCCTGTTTGTATCACCTCCCAATTATGCCATCAAATTGTGATCACCTTCGCTGAAGAAGTTAGAACCCACATGACTCAGTTACTTCCCCAAAGCCCATCAGCAGCCAAGCTTTCACCACCAGGAGCCCTTGGGACTGTATCCAAACCATACCATAGCAGGGTAAAGGAAGAATGGGGAGAAACTGACAAACCTCTATCCTGACCTCTTCCTCCACTGACCCACCCAATTCCATTGTCCCCAGCATGTCAAAAGTTTCTCCGTGTTTCCACAATGTTTCGTTCATGCACTCACTTATTAACAAGGATATATGAAAGTCTCACTGTGTGCCTTTCATTTACTTAGCATTGGATAAAACATAAGTGTATGGAACAGTCAGGAATCTTGCTCTCAAGAAAGTGATGAATAGAGATACACTTCGGCACCTTTCAATGTTTATTATAAAAATACATGTATGTATCGGTATTGCACCTCCTCTGCCATCTTCCTGCACACACTCTAGAATAGCATTGTTAGACCTTTGTTGACTTTTAATTTTTATTAAATAGCTTTATTTTCAGGTGCTAGCAAAATATGACCCGCTTTTATAGCAGATTACAAATATGAAGGTGGTCTGGGAGGTCATGATATATTTATCATGCATCACACAATACCCAATATCATCTATAGAAAAAAATGAGATAATGGCTATATACTGCAAAATACTGTCTTTCAAAATGTGATTTGAGGACCTTTATTTTTATATAATGGCTCTATGTAAGTGACACTTCACTATATTGAAACAAGATTTAATAATGTAATCCGTGTTCCCAAATAGAACTCAAATAGTTGTGGACAAATGAATTCGTGGTTACTATTTATTTTAATCATTTGAACACTCCTGCTTCCTTATCAGGCTTATGACTCCATTGTGGATTTCAGGTATTGGAGAAGAGAGGTGGAGAATAATATATTAAATTTCAGTGTACATTGTGAAAAAGTAACTATAGAGATAAGCGTGTGGGTTCCATGGTCACAAAAACAAGATAGTAAAAAATCTAGTCTTTAAGTCATACTCTGAAATATGATCAGAACATTAAATCAGATGTAGAAAATTAAATTTAGTTTCTCAGGACTTTCTGTCACAGGAACTTAAAAAAGTATAGGGATCCATTGAGCTCTTGCTGTAACCCGGGAAGGAACCGTACTGAGAATGAAGGTAGACAAGAGATAAAAAGCTGGGCCAGGTAGAGCTCCTCTCTCTCTTGAGCAAAGGAGAGGAACTGCCCAAGAGTAGTAGAGTCTTTATTTATACCTTAGAGAACTTATTAAGTTCAGCCTCACTTCTGATCAGTCAGTTAACAAGCTGCAACAGTGGGCTTCGAGGAGCTCCCATGTTCCTGGGCTGGCTTCGTTCTGCATGTGTAATTACTTTCCAGCTTTAGCAGCTTCCAAAAGAGTGAATTTTCTTTTCCCTATGTGTAAAGTATTTGCAATATCTGTAAATTAGCATTCCTTGCACTAGAGTACTAGGTAGTACATGTTAGCTATATCTGTATTCAAAATATATTAGCTCACTTGCCTCAGTTTGATCTAGAGATAGAAAACTTCCCAGTACAACTAATACCTATTACAGAAATGCAAAGGGCATTTGGAAGATAAAGAAATTTAACTTGTATTTAAACATCAGGACTCATATAATTATTGCATGGCTGGTTTTCTTTGCAGCACTTTTTCTTATTCCTTTTTATAATTTTATCTCATGTGCATTGTGGGACTTAAGCTATGGCCATCTTGAACTCTGGGGCACTAAGTAACGCCATGAAGAACCTTATTCGTAGAGGAATCCTCAGAATCATACAAGTGAGAGCCCTTTAGGGCTTGATTGTATGATACTGAACTAATCCATCCCTGGAGGATGCAAGGAGAATGATGCCCTCGAAGAAAGTATAGATTCCCAGTGCTATGATTTGGATGTAGTTCATCCCCATAAAAACTCATATTGGGGGGCCAGAGATACCTCAGCCAACTAAGCACGTGCTCTGACAAATGCAGAGACCAGGGTATGATCCCCAGTCCCGCATGCCCCACTGGCCCCACCCCCAAGCATGCTGAGCCATTGACTGAGTCTGGGTGTGGTGACACAGACCTGTAATCCCAGCCCTGGGGAGGCTGCAAACGAGTCTGAGCTGCATAATGAGACCTTGCACCAAACATATTTAAAAAA